GTACCGCACAGAATGCAATCCATTACAGTTTATTTAATCATGATACCAGAATAATATGAACGGGTTTAACAGGAAAGCGAATAAAATAGGAAACCACAGTATACTGCATGTAAAAGTATGGAATCGTTTTGTATAAAACGTTAATTAAACGAAAGTTAGACAAAGATGACACGTTATATCAAATTGAACTGAAGAGGATTGGGACAATCATATTTTGAACTATTTGGCGTTCAAGCATTGCTTTGGCGAAAACGGTCACAGTGACCGAGAGTGTTATGATTTAGAAGATGACAACACCGGAATAAGGTCATCGGAACGTATTCACTGGACACATTTAAAAATATTTTTTTTTCTATTCTTCTTGGAGCAGCTTTTCTATTCTTCTGCTAGTTCCATGACCATTATCGATCGTTGGATATGATATTGGCTACCATATTCGCTGTCGTGGCTGTATTGATAGCAGGTTTAAATAACGTTATAGTCTATTTTCCGTACTATTGTCTTAGATGCTCTTCTTTTACCAGGACCACGTTTACCTTGGATCTTTTCTTGAATAATCAGATGTAAAAGTTCATATTTTTCAGGGTGTATCATAATATGACCAAAGTATTTCAGATTTTCTATAGCTCTCAGTTAATATTTTTTGTTTGACTTCCTCTATTTAATTCCTCGCGTTCGTTGGTGTGTTAACCTTAATTTTTACAAAAGTTGGGATTGTCTCACCAATCCCAACCAATGACACCGTTTTAAGTACTGATTTCTCTTACTTTTTTTGTCCAAGTGGGTTTATCTTCTAGTGTGATGAGCATTTTTAGCCTTTTTTTACGTTCTTTACAGAGTTTGGCTTTCCGTTACTGGCCCTACATTTAACAGCTGTGGCAGTTTTTCGATATATTTGCTCCTACAGTTTTCTTCTTTTTTCCTAAACTAGGCTTTGTAGATAATAAAACCGATAATAAAGTAGAGGCTAATTTGAAAGATTTTAAAATTCATTTTCCATTCGTTTTTAGTAAGGATATATAAGGATTTAGTAACAATAGCATGTTTTAATAAACAGTGCACTTTCCTCTGCACCTATGTGCATTATAATCAACTGTGAATAGCTTGAATAAATTCTTCTCGTAAGAATTGTAGCGTTATTGTTCATTTTAGAAAAAGTTTGCCCATGGCTTTTTTACTTTCGAAAGAAAATGCAAAAAAGTATTTTTGAAGTGTGCATATTTTAGGCAATTCCTAGCTGAGCGCTTTCGGCTTTACAAAGCCATCATCAGAGCTATGCTACAATAAAATGTTCTTATAAGTACTAATTGGTAAATATTATAATTTTTAACTTACGTCAATTTTTTAAATACCACTACAAAGGAGAGATCTCATTTCCTTAAATTTCAAAATTATGATTTTTTTAGTTGTTGGAATTTTTAAAACATATAAAAAACATATAAAAGCCGACACTGGACTTCACAAACACGTTAAAAAATTGAAAAAAATTTTTGTCATGGTACGGGTGTAAGTCTTGTCATGACAAAAATTTTTTTCAATTTTTTAACGTGTTTGTGAAGTCCAGTGTCGGCTTTTTATATGTTTTTTATATGTTTTAAAAATTCCAACAACTAAAAAATCATAATTTTGAAATTTAAGGAAATGAGATCTCTCCTTTGTAGTGGTATTTAAAAAATTGACGTAAGTTAAAAATTATAATCTTTACCAATTAGTACTTATAAGAACATTTTATTGTAGCATAGCTCTGATGATGGCTTTGTAAAGCCGAAAGCGCTCAGCTAGGAATTGCCTAAAATATACACACTTCAAAAATACTTTTTTGCATTTTCTTTCGACTTGCCATAAGTGTGTACAAAAAAAAATATCAGTCTTTTGATTTTTTACTTTCATTTCCTTTTTGTGAAGATAGTGTGGCATTCAAATGATAAATGAATCAGCTTTTGATTGGTTTTCTTTATAAGGCATCTCCTTCAAAAAGGAGAAAATCTTATGTTAATATGAGGTATGTAGCGATTTACTGGCCATCTCTTTTCACCTGACCCCCGGAGGAAGTGTGGTAGTCATCGTGATGTGTACAGTGCGTCTCTAAATTTGTCTGTGGTCATTTCTTTGAACTCATGCGTAAGTCTTTGACATATTCCTGTAATTTGATCGATCCATCTTAGTGGCCATTTTCCTCGTGTCCTTCGACCTTCTACTGTTCCTTGGATAATAATTTTTTTCCTGTTTTCTGTGTCTTCTCTCATAACACCCTCTAACTATTTTAATTGTTGGAAATGGATTTTGCTATAGATCCGTTTGGTGCCGTTAGTTCATTTAAAATTAAATTGTTTGTTGGGTCCACAGCATCCCTTACATGGTATCATGTGTAAAACGTAATTTTTTTATTTTTCAACCATTTATTGAGACGCCCTTTTCCCATATTTTTGTCTGACACCTTGTTCTAAATGGAATTCGTTTGAGAGAATTCAAGCACTTTAACGGTTCTAGTAGTGTATTCGTATAGTTCAGTTATAAGCTAAATTAGGTGATGTGGTACGCCTACTTCTTTTAGTATATAATTACTGCCATTTTACCCCGTCGAAGGCTTTGCGATAATCTATAAAGCAAATGTGTAGTGGAATGTTAAATTTTCATAGATTTCCTAGTATTTCTCTTTATATAAAAGTTTTCAGTATCTTATTGATTATGTGTAGCATTATTTTGCTGACATGTGAGATATTCGAGATGGTTCTACAGTTATTGCATTTACGAAATCTCCCTTTTGTTATGTATTGTCATTATCGTAGATTTTGTCCAATCACTAGGCTATTACTTGAAATGCCATATTTTGTAATAGAGCAAATAAAGCAATTTTATTCCGATTTCGTCTGTGACTTCGAGAATTTCTACTATTATCATATCTGGACTTTGTACTTTGTTATATTTATATTTACTGATCGCCAGTCTTATCTGATTTTTGAGTATATTGGGTTCTTCTTTGATTTTTAAGGGGTTTAGAGAACAAGTTCCTGGTGTTTATCATCTTATATGCAGCAATATAATGTGCATATATCTTTTCTGATGGTTCTCAGGATTCCTGTGTGGTATTCAACGGCTTAAGTTGTGGTTTTAAAATATCTTGTGGCAAATTTTTCTAAATATATTCCATTCCATTTGCTGATTGTTTTGATCGTCTCTCTTAATTTCTTTACATATATTGTGAGAGTACTGTTGTTTATTCGCCTTGCATCTTCGTTCTATTACATTGTTGAGGTTTGTTAAATTAGCTTTTTCCTTTCACTTTGTACACCACTTTGACATTTCCTGACTAAGAAGTAAAAATTAAGTTTTTTAAAGCTGTAACAAAGCTTTTCATTAAAACTCTTCTGTTAGCTTATTTCTAGAACACAACATTGATACAACACAACTTTGAACAATAATTTATTACTGATCATGCAGAAAAGTCAACCGAAAGTTTAAGTAGATTCATCATCATTATCTTGGTGCTACAGCCCTTAGAGGGCCTCGACCTTCTCAAGCTTTCTACGCCATTCTGTTCTCTTCCTTGCTTGCATTTTCCAGTTGCCGACTCCAATCTTCTCGGCATCTTGTGTTACCCCGTCCATCCACCTCATTTGGTCTACCCCGTCTTTTCATTCCCACGAGTTGCGCTGTTAGAATCTTTTTTATCATGTCCGATACATGTCCTGCCCACTGCAGGCGGTTTCGCTTAATTATAGTGGTAATATCTTTACCACCAAATGTATGCTTGTAGATATTCTGCAGTTCAAAGTTATATCTACGCCTCATATTCGCTTACAATATCTTGCGTAGTACCTTTCTTTCAAAAAACGATAGAGCGGATTCATCTGTTTTAGTTAGCATCCATGCCTCTGATCCATACGTGAGAACGGGGACTATTAGTGTTCTAAACAGCCTTCTCTGTTCTATACGTGTTTTTTGAGACAGACATTTGTTAGCTAAATACTTTGATAGACCATGATAACACCTGTTTGCAACTATTATTCGCCTTTTTATTTCTCAGATGTGTTATTATTGGGGTTAACCGATGTCCCTAGATATATGAACTCTTTGACTGCTTCGAAGTTTTGGTCATTGATGATTAAATTTGCGTCAACATTTCCAGCTCTTGTGTTTATGTTAGTCGATATGAATTTGGTTTTATTTTGATTTATATGTAACCCCATTCGTTCTGCTGCTTCTACTAGCTCGGTTAGGATTTCCGCAGTTCTCGCCCTGGTTCATGTTATAATGTCCACGTCGTCTGCATATGCTAGAATTTGGACTGATATATTAAATATTGTTCCCCTGCTATCTAAGTTAGCGTCTCGTATAACTTTTTCTAAAGTAGATACTATTTCTCTGAAGTAGATTCACAACTACCAAAATCTCCCATATGATTTAAGTATTTTTTTTGGTTTTCGGATTTTATTAATTTGAAAATCTGACTATGAGGATTTTATAAAAATATGCTTATGCATTAACAAAACGACGAAAAACAAACATCATGTAATACTTTAAAAAAGATTAAAATACTGTAAACATTCAATAAATATGAAAATTGTTTACATTTAAACCTCCAATTACACAGATAACTAAGTTAAAAACAGTTTATCCACAAATAGAAATTTAGAAATCACGTTTAATAAAGACTATCTGAATATTTTATTAACAATTGTACAGAATGAACTAATTTATTAATACAGCAACATTTTTTCATATAGACAAAGAAAACTAACAAGATGTGCTTAACAATAAAAATCATCTAGCGAAGATATCTTTAAAAATGACATATTGTTTCAGTATATTGCTTCTAGATGCCACACGACCAGAGAAAAAACTCCTTTCTTGCTCGTATAATTTTCTTTTTTTTTTTAACAAAGCTAGGGAGCACGTTTACCCTTCAACCTACGTATAAAAATATTTCTTGAGTTCAGTGGGACACCGCCTTTATATTTTAACATTATAATATTTTTACACTTTTATTTTTGTTCTAGGTGGTACTAGTTTTGGCTTCATGAATGGTGCCAACGATGACACGAGAGGAATGAACAATTCTGGACTTAAACTAGACACCACCAGTTACGACTATGATTCTCCAATCTCTGAATACGGCAATATTAGCAACAAATTTACATTAATATCAAATGAGATAATTGCCAGAAATCCAGTTAAAACCAAACTACCACCACTACCAAACATCACAGCTCCTGTAAAGTACCCGTCGATTATAGCCCAGGGACAAATATTACTGGCAGATATAATTGATGAATCAAACGAAAAAATTATATCAGAAGATATTTTATCGATGGAACAGCTACCTATAAACAACAATTCTGGTCAAAGTTACGGCTATATTGTTTATAGACAGACTAATCTGGATCTACCAACAAATTCTGTACTAAAAATATCTGGATATGTGAGAGACACCGTACTTGTTTTGTTGAATGGAAAGTTGGTATCACCTGCACCTGTCTCGGCAGAGAATGTTAAGGGATTTGGTTTTTGGCAGCTCTACAACTCTACCCTAAATCTAAATAATACAGAACTTCAAAACGCTACTTTAGATTTAGTTGTTGAGAACTTTGGAAGATGCGGTTATGGCGCCTTAGATCAATTCCAACAATACAAAGGTCTTACTGATGACGTTTTTGTTAACGAAAATAAACTAACGCACTGGACGATCATTCCCTTAGAATTTAAAACTAGCTGGAACAAAAAACTAAATAGCTGGAAAGCTGTAGGTAACACTACAGATACCCCAGCACTTTATAAATTTTCACTAAATATAAGAGAAGAGCCAAAAGATACCTTTGTGTCTTTAATGACCTGGGTCAAAGGGATCACAATCGTTAATGGTTTTGTACTAGGTAGACACTTTTTTATTGGTCCACAGCAAACTCTTTATCTGCCTGCTCCATTCCTACGAAAAGGAGTAAATGATATTATTGTTTTCGAGCACTATCATTCTCCTGGTTATCTAGATTTTGCAGATCATCCGATATTTGAACAGGTTGGTCATGTACAGACTTTAAACAGAGGTAAAACAATGAATTATTAGTATTATATAGAGACTTTTTCCTTTTAAGAAATTATATTGTTGTAGAATAATTGCTCTCATTTTATTCTGTAAATGTTGATATAAAATGTATGTTTAATTTCTTGTTTCTTTTACAGGTGCTCAATTGAAAACACTAATATCCTTCTTCCAAAATCTGTATGTTATGGTGTCTGCATAAAAATAAGTTTCATATTAGAACTGAAATGGCAAATTAAAAAATTAAGAATGCCTATCGAGCAAAATTAGAATATGTTTTGCAGCTTTCTTATTTATTTGTTTTTTATTTGTTGACTTTATAAAATGTTACTAAAGGAATTAAAAAAAAAACAGAGTATTTTTATTTGGACTATTTAATTAGCTAAATACAGGGTGAGTCATGAGGAACTTTACATACTTCTACCATATGTAGAGTCCCTCAGGAGCATAACATGTGGCCACTAAAAAATGTCAACTCCTCTTCTTTATTAATTAACAGGGTGATTTGTGTAATTGACCATTTATTTCATTTTACTGTAGTGTTTATACGGCTCATTTGATTTTTTTAATTTTTGCATGATACAGTACACTACTATCAAGCATTCGACTGGTATTAGCTAAACTAAAAAATTCCAGGACTGGCTTTGGAAAAATTAATTTAGGGATTCGTATTAAATATTACACCCTGTATATATTTTTTTTTAAAATGCAATAAGTGATTTTCAAACTACATAAATAGCCAATGAAAACGACATATGCGACAATGTTGTCGCACTTTTATTAAATTTTTAGTGAACGATCAAATCTTACCAAAAATAGAACAACCATAATGAAGTATCAAATTATAAGGTAATTAATTTAAACAAATGTTATAAATTTCAAACATTTTAATTGAAATGATAAACTGAGTCACTGCACAACAAAAACAGTAACTACTAACAATAACGAAGAACAATTTAAAAAAAACAACTAAAAATATGTACATAGTTATGATAAACCCATAAATTAGAACTGGAAAAGATACAATAATGGTAACAAAATAAAAATAATTCAAAATAGATTTTCGAAATGGAACCCTGCAGCCTGTACACATTTTTGTTGCCGAATTGTTAATTGACGTATTGAATTACGGATACTCTGGGGATCGTTTCTAATAGTATTACAACAATGTATGATTCTATCAATTAATTGTTGTCGGTTATTAATATTCACTGCGTAAACTAGTTGCTTCAATCGTCCCCAAATATGGTAATCAACGGGATTGAAATCAGGGGATCTTGAAGGCCACGAAATAGGACCTGCACGTCCTATCCACCTGTTGCCATAAACATTATTGAGATGTTGTCTCACTGCCAGTAAAAAGTGTGGGGGTGCCCCATCATGCTGAAAATACATCCCTCGGATAGCAACGTTCGCGTTGGCAAGCAAATTCGGCAAAATATTTTGTAGAAAGTTCAAATAGACCTGCCCTGTTAAAGGACCATCAAAAAAGTGAGGACCTACTAATTGGTTATTTATGACACCAATCCACACGTTAACCGAAAACCTTAACTGAGAACGACGTTCTCGAATAGCATGGGGATTTTCTTCTGCCCACACATGTGAATTTCGTGAATTATTTATCCCGTCTCTGGTAAATTGGGCTTCATCTGTAAATAGTGTCCTGTATAGCGTTGGTCGATTATTGTTAATCCATCTACAAAATTCCAACCTATCGATCTCATCTCCAGCATGTAGTCGCTGAACCATTTGAATGTGATATGGGTATAGATTATTTTTTTGTAAGACTCTACTTACTTTTGATTGAGTAACATTGAGTTCTCGACTTACTTGTCTAGTGCTTATTGTAGGGTTCATAGTAACGGCGTCCATAATGTCATCTTCCTGCGCTTCATCTACATGTCGCTCTGTTGTTCCACTAGGAAAAGTGCCATTTTCTCGCAAATAATTAAAAACTGACCCAAATGTTGGATGACTGGGAGTTCGACGATTAGGAAATCTCCTGCGATATTCTCTACTAGCAGCCCTACCATTCCCATTACAGAATCCATAAACAAATATTATGTCTGCATATTCTGTGGTCGAAAACTGATGTGGCATTTTGAACGAAGTATAAGTAACAAAAGCTCTACCAAAACTAACACAATGTACTTAACGTAGATATGACAGAAGAAATATGTATTCTTGTACACATAAATAACAATTGATAATGACAATAATGACAATGGGTATAAAATATCAAGAAACGTCAAACGGTCAACGCCAACTTCATTTAACTTTTTAGATTTTTTTTTTTAGTACAGTTGATGCAATGTATTATTATTTGACATAAATTTTAATCATTTACAATCAATAAAAACTAACACATACAAGAGGTTTGACTTTTTAATCAATTTAATTTATTATTTATCGAAAATAATGCCCCAATACGATCTATGAGTAAAAATTTTAAATTGAAAAACAATTGATTCTATCGTAGAGATAATACAAAGTGACAGTAAAGATGTTAATTTTCTACGTATTAGATTATGTTGTAGGAACTCATTTTAATTAAAATGTTTGAAATTTATAACATTTGTTTAAATTAATACCTTATAATTTGTACTTCATTATGGTTGTTCTATTTTTGGTAAGATTTGATCGTTCACTAAAAATTTAATAAAAGTGCGACAACATTGTCGCATATGTCGTTTTCATTGGCTATTTATGTAGTTTGAAAATCACTTATTGCATTTTAAAAAATATATATTACAGGGTGTAATATTTAATACGAATCCCTAAATTAATTTTTCCAAAGCCAGTCCTGGAATTTTTTAGTTTAGCTAATACCAGTCGAATGCTTGATAGTAGTGTACTGTATCATGCAAAAATTAAAAGAAATCAAATGAGCCGTATAACACTACAGTAAAATGAAATAAATGGTCAATTACACAAATCACCCTGTTAATTAATAAAGAAGAGGAGTTGACATTTTTTAGTGGCCACATGATATGCTCCCTGAGGGACTCTACATATTTTAGAAGTATGTAAAGTTCCTCATGACTCACCCTGTATATATCGAGCCCTTCCAGGAAAAACATCGTAACCAACAATTTTTCGAATTTTTGATTTTTCTGTTATCCCAACAATAAGCTTTTTCGTTGACCAAAACATCGTAAGCCAAACGAACACATTTTACCAATTTTGATTTAGATCGAACCAACTGAAGATAAGTTATTTTTGTCATTCTCTTATCCAATTCCAAAGTTTTATAAACAAAAACTCTGTATTTTCTGATCTTTGTCACTTTATAAATATTCAGCTTTTAAAATTTCCAGTTTTATTACTCATCAATGAAAACTAAGCTTAACAGAACAATGATTTAGGTTTAGATGTATTTAGCCTCACGACTAGAATCTTATAACGTCTTTATTAATTCTAATTTACTGTTCTTTTTATTAAAGGTTCTATACTTATAACACTCACAAATTTATCAAAGTCTTTATTACTACTAATTTATTTTACAAATAATTTATCTACGTGCAATACAAGTTTAATGCGAACCCTGACTTCTTTTTGACTAACTCTTCACAATAAAAATTCTGTTATTTATATCCAAATACAGTTATCTAGAAGGGTCTGGCGAAGAATCGATGACCTTCCATCCATTAGGTGAGTCATGGACTGGTCTCGAAGAAGGGTCTAGTAATTTCTGCTGGCAGGTAACAGGTATGAGCGCCGAAATTACTAGAAATATAAAAGAATTAGTCATAATATATTTACAGTTTTATACGCCACAATATTTATTATCGTAACAATATCTTATATATTTTTATGATTAAAACTTGTATACCTTCCATATTGAAAACTCTAAACAAAAGTTTTATTTTTCTTTTAGTCTTCAAAACTCTGCAAACTTCTGCAAATTCTATTCACCCAGTCAAAAAAACGGTATCAAAGTATAAGCTGAAAAATAACCACTATGCCTTTATAACTTTTGCTGACAGATTAAATTAAATTCGGCACGATCTCCCTCGAAATCCAATTTTATCCCAATTTATGACGTATACAAATGACCGAAGTTGTAAGTTGTGATCAAAAGTTTCACGCGCTGACCTAAACTAGTTACGTTGTTAGCAGCCGAAAGTGAAAGTTCCTTCCACAACAGAAACCGGATCCCACGCAAACTGCTTATATATTATAAAGTTTCGGTGATTATGATCATGTCCAGCCGATAAGAGCATAATAGGATTGCGTTATTTTTTTATGATTCCATAAGTTTATATTTTACTGACAAAATAATATGGAATTTCTTAGAACTATGAAATATGAGAAAATACAGAAGGGACAAATTTATGCTTCCAAGAAAATTTTTTGGGTACCCAAAACCGAGGGATTTCGGACTCTAGCTTTGAACTGTAGCAGTGAAAAGTAAATTGTGAAGTATGTCTAGTTACAGAGGGGGTTAAAAAAGTATTTAAGAGATTTGTGTCGCCTCCAGCAATTCTGATGTTCCAGTTTGTTTCCAGTTGAAGTGCTTCTTTAATCTCGCTGTTCCTGCTTTGTTCCTGAAGAAGTTTGTTTAGTTCCAGTTATAGTTTCCAGAATTCTAGTGTAAAACCCAGTGAAGTCCAGGTAACTTTTGTGTAAATATTTAAAGTACAGTAGACATTTTTTTAATAATGTAATTGCTGTCATTAAAATTTAAAGGATTTTAGGGTTTGACTTTAGCTGTCAATTTGTGTGTTCAGTTTTTTTTTAATTTATTGTTAACTTATGACTCGTTTTATTATTTTTTGATTTTAGTTTGTTTTATTTTTAAACAAGGTTAACATCCATACAATTTTGTAAGTTTTGTAGCAACAGAGTTTGTATACGGCTAGGACACATGTAAGTTTTTTGTTATTCTTGTTCTCTGTAACTATTAATCTATATGTAAATTTGCGCCATTATTTTTATAACTGTTTGTGGTAAAACACCAATAAATGTTAAATTTTATTTCTTATCATTTTGTTAAGTTTTTTTAAACTAACCCTTTTTTGAGTTTTATTTGGAAAAGATATGTTTTTTTATGTTTAATAATTATTTAAATAATTGATGGATTCGACTGTTACTTGATGGAAATTTATTTTATGTAACAATAAAACACTGAAAACTTTGTTTTCAAATTTCCACAAAATATTTATTTTAACTCTTATCACTACAGCTGTTTCGGCTGATTGCCTTTCTCAAGTGATCTATTTTTGGCATGCGTTTACAATTTATAGTCTCTAATGAAATAGGTTGAGGAGGGGAGAACTGTTTGTCTCAAGTTGGTCATTCAGAATTATATCTGTGTTTTTTAATTTGTTGATTTCCATAG